GTTTATAAGGAAAATCCTCTCAAAGGCTTTGCTGATTGATAAGGGTAGAGGCCCAATGTAACTTTATTTAAGGAGTGTTGTAAATGCATATAAGGTGGAAAAGGAGAAGCACTAAAATTTTTGTTTTTTATTGAAGAGGGTAACGCCAGCTCACTATCTGTAACGGTCTGTTCCTTAGGAATCAGCTCCCTGTGTCACAATGACCTGGCAAACTCGAATGCTTTCACTATCACTGGAGTTCTTGCAAGCCTGCTCTGGCTGTGACCCATTCACTTTTGCCCCAACTTCTCAGAGATGCCTTACTCAGCATCTAATTAGTTAGGGAGGATTTGCTGCCGCTCTTAACCCTGACACAGGAGTGGGAGTGTGTGCTGCTGTGGTAGCCCAAATCTGTCCTGTCACTACATTAATCAGATTTTCATAAAGGCATGCATGAATAATTGGATTTATCAGTGAATGTTAAGATACACTCATAAATATAATTATAAAAAATACCTGCAATTATAGATAAGATATCTGCACCTTTAGGGATTTATTTTTCAACTGTGGTTACTTGACTAACCTCAGCAAAAGGCTTTACAAATTATACAAACACACAGTACTAGTTTGCAGATGGCAGAAAGATGAGGAAAATAATTTCAAAATGATCACCTATTACATTCAAATTCACTTAACATAGTGTGTTGAAAATAAACTTGAAATTTTTGGACAAGTTTTTAATGTATACATCATACATATCTGAAAATATGTTGGTGCATGCTTTACTTGCATTAACATTACCTAAATACCATCTATACGGCTTACTATTTTTCCATGTCAACTTCCCCAATGCATTACAAATTAGACAGTATCCGGTAAGTGAAATCTGCATGCTATACACAGACTTCTACAAACACCTGTCTCTATGCTACAACTTATATTTTAACAATTACCCAAATATCCCTATTTTGGGGTTGCAGTATCAGAAGAGATATTAAGAACTACATCTGACTATACGTCTATGTTTAAAACTTCAAAATAAAACCTATTAACACTCAAATTAGAGATGGGAACTAAATAGGAGGTAGTAGCCTAGTAATTCAACAGACTGAAATTACATGCCTCCTAACACAATATAAATATTTATTTTAGCATCACGACCATCAGTTTGGTCAATTTAATCCTTATTTTAGTAAGACATGATCATTAAAAAGGGAGTAAAAAGGGAGGAGGAAAAAGTGCAGACACCTAGGTTTGGATGAAGCCTGGCAATGAAAGGCATTTTCAAAAACTGTTAACTATTAATTTCTTTACTCAGGGCTCTGATCAAATAAGAATATACATCCTATGTTACAAGGCTTGTCTACATGAGTGGGATAGAGTTTAGAATAAAAATGTATCGTATGAACTATAAAAATAATCAAACCACAATATACAACTGGACATCTGACTTGTAAGAAAAATGGTATATGTGCCTTTTAAGCTGTTAGTGAATAAACACTCAAAACAACTTAGGAGAGAAGGGTACGAAGTCAGACAAAACCATCATTTCCAATTTAAAGTATAGATTCAACAAAATAAAACTCTGTTTGCCTATATGAATAGAAAGAATTAAGAGACTACTGGGAGAAAAATTCATATTGAACATGTTTTTAAATGGATTCTAGCAATGTAATTATGTATTTCTTACAATATATTTTATTTATCATTTCTCTGATATGTGCTAGATTTTATATTAGTAAGAAAGTTTGCTTTACTTTGTCATATCTCTGGTGAGCAGATGCTCTGGTATTAATGTAAATCATTGATTTAATTTTTAGCTTTCTTGTTTTGCCCCTATCTAGGAAATTATTTCTCTGGTGATAACTAACACATCATGCTAATGAGAGAATCTAATGCACAATAGAAAAATGTCACTACTAATAATATTTGCATGAAGTTAAATAAAGCAACTGTAAGAGAATGTCAGACAGTGTTCTTTAATAAGACACAGTTTCACAATGAAATTATGTTGTTAATTGTGTTACATCATTGGGTGAATCCTAAATTACTACATAATGATGCACAGAGTCATTTATAATTCTAACTTAGTATTTCACTCATGTCTGAAAAGAGACCTTATTAAGGAATCTACATTTTATTTGAAAAGGTTAAATATACCTCACCAATAATTAAAGGAAAATGCCTCTAGTAATGTAAACATGTAAAACATGGGCTATAGCCATTTATCTGTTATGGTTTCATTTCTGAAAAGATCTCAAAATATATTCAGACTATTGCATTACTTGAGGTACCTATGAAGAATTTTATATACCAGCCTCTCAAATACACAAAACATTTTAGAAAAATCACTTTTAAAAACCTGATTAAAAAAAAAGGTTCAAAAGCAGGCCTTATTTTTTGCTTTTAACAAAAACTTCATGATGCTAAAATGGGCAAAATAATGTTCTGGACTCTAGGAGATTAACAGAGAAGATGAGTAAAGGGTTCCTGGTCATTCTCGGCCTGTCACTGATCAAAGTAAACCAAGTAAGAACTCCCTTTACAGAAGTCAAGAGCCATGCCCTTTAAGGTTATCAAATATTTGTCTGTATGAAAAAAAATGATCCCTTTTGAAAAGATCATAATTGAATATGGGAAAAAAACACAGAAAGACAGAAAAATGCACTGAAATTTTTGTATCCCTTACTTTAGCAGAACATACTTAATTCTACCAAATCTACATTGACTTCAATATTGTGGTATCTTTTTGTTAGTATAAGACAAACTGAAAGATTTACATATAAGCAGACCATACTTTGCTCATACAAAACAACTAAGATTTTTATATCTCTACTTTCTAGTTTGCCTATAAAAGACACAAACCTAGATTATTAAATTTCAGTATTCATGAGACATTTCCCACTATAAGTTTTGCTGTGGTTAAATAATACTGGTGGTAAGTTCTCTAGAACTCATACTCAGTTTCTACTAGTCAGTTTTCTCTAATATTTAACGAAATGATCAGGTAAATTTTATAGTTTTTATGTTATTACAGAAAATTTTGAGATAAAAATATACCAAATAAAATTTATTTCATATGCTAAATCGATTTCTTAGAAATTAAAGTAATAATAGAAAAGCTTTTTAATGCCTTAGCAATGAGATACACAGAATTCTACATACTTGATTAAACTGGACAAACTTTTACCTGCAATAAGACAAAAGCTGGATTAATGTTTATATCAAAACTAGTATTTCTTAAAACTATTGGCTTCAAGAAAAGCCAATTTTAAGAAAAGTGTCTTTCTTGCACACATACACACACGTTCTGAATCAGCATTGCTGATGAAATATAGGTAAGGAAAATAAACACATTAAACATACACAACACATATATTTTTAGATTTATACATAGTTTGAATTTAAGTTTACACAACAGTTATACAAACTAAAAGGTCATCCTGAAGGAGGAAGAGAAGAAACATGTAGACTCATACCTCTTTTACATGCTTTTCAAAAATGCACAGGAGGTAAACATTTAGTAACCATGACAGAAAAAGAAGGAGGAGTTACTAACTATATCAAAACCCAAAATAAAATATAGCTGAATCACAACACTTTTTTAAATTGTAATTTTTCTCCCTTTATTGTACTACTGTTTAGTAAATAGTATAATTAGCATTATAGTTTTATATAGCACCACTATGCATAAATTACTTCACTCTATTTCTACTTCTGTTTATATAGTCACTGAAGCTCACTATTACACATACATACACACAGGTACAAACAAAATAGATCTTCTTATACCCACAGAGTCAAACAGCTGCATTAAAGACATCATAATAGCTTAGTTGTACAAGTTTCTCTCTCTGAGCGATTTCAAATTATTTTCCTAATTCTAACCCATCATTTATATAATTTTTCTTTCTTTCTTTTTTTTTAGCTAAAATGTTTTCCACAACTTAATGTCTCCTTAGATTCAAATCTACTTGAAAATGGGCTAGTGCCAAAGAAGCAATCTAACACCATCTCTGTGGTTCAATAGCCATTTATCAATTGATCATTATCTCTATCTGGTTTTATTAACTCTTTTCTAGCTAGAGGGAGACCTGAACCAATCTTCCCTTCCAATACGCACACACACAAACACACACACCCATGACCTCCACTAACTCATACAAAACCCTGAAGGTAACATCTAATTTTTAAAGTATGGCACAAGCTATTTAATCCTAAGGTCAATGAAAACACACTCTGTGTTCCAATCAGGAACAGAGCCACCCAGGCAGGAATATGCCTCAGAAACACACCTCTCAAAGCACACTGCAATGACAAGGAATTATCTCTGGGAAAAAAATGAACTTAACTTGCAAGAATGGGAAACTGCACATAAAGAGTTGCTTATTGGGTTTATGTTGATTGCATTTAAACCCAGCTTACTGTATCAGCAGTAATCAGGGTCCCTCTACAGGATATGTCAAAATACACCTTATTCAAATGCATTTATCCTATCTAGAATTGTGCGATAAAACTGTTCGCTAGCTAAATGCTACAAAATCCTGGCTCCGTGCACACTCTTCTGCAGATGTATTTCTAAACTTGTGGTAGTTTACAGCCTAGCAAATTGTTTTCTTTCCTTCATTACCAATACTTAAAAAATCTAAATTAAGTCAATAAAATATTTAATTCTCATGGACTCTTACAAACGAAACTGGTTTTTTTAAGAGAGCAGTTGCAGTATTTTTTTTAAATGAGTGAAACAATTCATTTCTTAACCGTCATCTGCTTAAAATCCACCTATTTGTCAGTAATACCTTCGTGCTGTGTGGATGATAATATCATACTAACTCTTGCTTTGTGTGAGTTTGGTGCAGGCTTTTGAAAATCAAGACGTGTCTAGGAGGGAGGCACCAGGGAACTTCCCTCCCTCGCTTGAGCACAGTCCAAGAGGAAAGTTTCTGGGTTGTTTCCCTTTGCTTCCTCTCACCCTCGCTCCCCCTCGGAGCCGCAGAGCCAGCAATTGTGCAAGAGGAGCCCAGCGCGCAGGGCGCGTATCACCAAGCGCATGGTACAAGCCGCCGGCTCCGGTGATTAATTATCAGCAGCCGCTGGCCTCGCACATCACCTCGGCTTTCTCGGCAGAGCCAGCACACCCAGCACACCCAGCTGGTGGCCTGGACAGAGGAGCGGCTCTGGGGAGGACGCCGAGGCTGCTCCGGAGCGTGAGTGCGCCGGCGGGCGGGCGGGCGGGCGAGCGTGCGGAGCCAGAGCCAGCGGGGAGCGCAGGGGCAAGTGTGGAGGCAGGCGGACAGGCGGGTGGAGGAGCTGGGGCCGGCCGACACAGCCCTCTACGCCCGCCACTTCCTCCCGCGACTCTGGGCGCTGGCAGCGATTCCTGCACAGCCTCCGGTCCTCAGGTCGGAGTCCGCTGCTTCCAGCCCCAGGAAGTCAGTTGGGCTGTGCGGAGGGGCCCCTACATTTTATCACTGGTTGGAGAACCTCCTCTGAGATAGACACTCTGAGGAAGTGATTAATATAGATGGAAAGATACAGTTGTTGGGTCGTGGCTTTAAAAAAATTTTAACAGAAAATAAATAATAGTCTTTTCATGACCTAGGTTGTACTGTGAAAACTTTGCAACAAATGCCTGTGCTTTCTTTTACTTCAGTATCCTTTCCCCTTTTTCTTTTAAGGAGCCCTTAGGGAAACCATGAAGTAACCCTGCACATTCCAGTAACACAGTTATGACAAAACAGAGCCCAACTATGAAGTGATCAAAAATTTTTAAATGTTAAGAAAGAAAAACAGCACAAACAAAAGTGCACATAACAATTCCAGATTTCTTTAAAAAAAGAAAAGAAAAGAAAGAAAGAAACTTACCTGTTGGGACATTCTGAATAAAAGGTTAGTATCAGCGTTTTGCCATGTCCCCATGAACCCTGGTTCAGCCGCAGTCGTTCTGGTTCCGAACTGCATGGAGTTGTCAGTACAGGAGTCTCTTAAAGTCAAGTCTCTTGCCCTCTTTGGCTCTCTGTCTCTCTGTGTCTCTCTTTCTCTCACATCCACTTCTGCCTCTTCTGACTGAAAAGTGAAGGTGGATTTTTTGAGCCTCTTGGCAGCCAGTAGCAGGAGTGTAGTGTAGTTAAGAAGCTGGCTGAACTGTGCATTTCATTTGGGAAGGGGGAGATTTGGGGGTGGGAGGGGGTCAGAGCTGCTTTCGCACCTTCTGCACAGATACCCCTATCATTTATGCATAGATTGTGACTCCCCGAGCTTGCCTTTGCTCAGTTTAACAGCTGCCTGTCAGGTGTGCAGGCAGCACTGGAGACCCAACCATCAGCTTCAAACTCTCAGCCACTGCATGTCATTGGATAGCAGAGCTCAGAGTCAACTGCACTGTTCCACTGTCAGGCACCAAATGACACCCTGCACTAACCTCTCTCCAGACACACACATAGATACACACTTCTGCACTCTCCAAGCAGCACCATGATCACAGAAGGATGGTACATATGGTGAGGAGAAGCTAGGGCCCTTCTCAGAGAATTTTTCCCAACAATACTTTTAGGTATAACACGCAGTATCTGACATCAGCCTTTACTTTTAACATTTGTAAATTGCTATGCTTAAAACATAGCAATTTTTTGAGCTATACTGGAAAAAATCGTCAGATTTAAGAGAATGTAAAGTTGGCTCAGTTGTTGTCTAAATGTTAACTCCTAAAAGCCATATAGTGTGTGCTTGGCTCTTTATACCCACATATATATAGATCCCAGAGAAAATAATACACATAGGGACATAACTTCACATCCTAAGAAGTAAATAAATAAACCTAGCAGTTTTTAACATAGAAGATACACAGTAAACATTTACAAAGTACATACATGTATACTACTTAATATGCAGTTCTTCAGGTCTTTCATTAATTACTAAATTGGATGTTAAGTAGTAAGAAACTGAAAGGCAAAGGAAAAAAGTATACCTTTTCTTAAAGCTCAAAAGTGGAGAAAAGTCCTTTGTTAAAGTTCCTGAATGAAGCATTTACAATATCCTTTCAAATCATAAAAAAGAAAAAGATGAAGAAAAAAAGCCTGTCCCATTTCAGGCAAAAAGTAATGAATATAAAAACTCCATTTTCCACTCAAGATCTCTAAGGAAAATTCTATGATGTTTTCCTGCAGGATAAAATATAACCTTGATAGCATGTCGCATTTTTAATTAAACCAGTTTTTAAAAGAAAACACCTATTTATTACACAGTGTTTATCTACCTTATTTATGGAAAAGCAAAACTGAACAAAATGCACTGTACATAAACAGTAACTTCAAAATGGAAAGCTAAATTCATGTCGTCTCATAAAAGTAGTCAGCAGGAAAAAGCCATCCTTCCTAAACTTAAAATGTAAGGAACATTAATCTTCAGCCACCTACAAATATCGAGGACAAATGTACCACTCTCCTTGCTCCTTCTTAACTGAAGAATAACAATAAACCTTACTCTCTGAAACAACAAAAGAAACAGAAAAGAGCTTCAATGGCAGCTCTGTGTCATTAGTGGACAATGAGAAAAGATGAGAAAACGTACACTATGTTGACACAAATGTGCCTTCCCCTCTAGAACCGACATCTCCTGAAAGCTTTTCTGTTAAACTTCCCTCCAGTTCACCACCATTAAGCACAAAAAAGTCTCAAAAGCAGCAAATTCAATATCTGAGAAGAAGCAAACAGGAACCCAAAGAATTGTTGCCTTAAAATATATTAAGTCCACCTGTGGTCAATAAAAATATTCTTGAAGGGGGAGGGCAGGAAAAGACCCTATGAGTCAATTGTCAACAGTGACTGTACCTTTACAGCTAGCTATTACCCACTTAAACTCCCTCTAAAATTTGCTAGCCTCTTGATTTCTGAAGTGGCACTCAGTGCCTCAGTCAAGCTGCCTGCTCAGCTCCTGACCTTCCCACTAATGGCTGTTATTTGTGGGAGGCTTAAGGACACTGTCAATAGCATGCTTCCTCCTCGCTCCTCTCAGGCTGTTGTATCGCTTTGCCTGCGTGTTCTCTCTCGCCTGCCTCTTGCGCTCCCTAGTTCCCCCCTCCTTTCCTCCTCTCTCCTTCACACCCTCTTCCTCTTCTGCCAGCCCCCACCTCTTCTTTCTCTCAGTCCAGCAGTCCTCTTCTTTCCCTGGTATCCAACCCTCCCCAACATCCATCCATCCCTCCCTCTCTCTCTCTCTCTCTCTCTCTCTCTCTCTCTCTCTCTCTCTCTCACACACACACACACACACACACACACACAACACAAAAATCAACTGGCATGCAGCAGCAAGCACCTGCAGTAATAGACTCTTTTATTAAAACTGTTATTCTGCAAGACTTGAAATTCCCCGTGGACCGGGCCATGTCAAAGCCGATATAATTAACTAGAGGCTCAGCAACGGATCAATTACCAGACAAGCAAGTGATAGTGAAATCAATGAAAGATCATCAGCCACATTATCAGTGTTGCAACTCATTAGGGCAAAACTGAGAAATGTGCTCAAAGCGAGCCCAAGCAAGGTGGCATTACAAAACAAAGGGCTAATTTGGAGACCCTGCTGTGAACAATCTGTAACAGAATTAGCCTTTTTTCCCCCTAAACTGCACAGCTCCGTAACTAAATGTGACAGACAGAGAAGCAGTTTATTAAGACACCAACCCCAAGTTTATTTAGTTCATAAACTCTCTCCTAGAAAATCAATACAGTCTGTACAGGGTTATTAGGCTGACTAGCTAATACATCCAAATCTAGTCTGCTTGGCCAGCAGTCTTCTGACAAAATGCTACCGAGTACAGGCAAACTGAACTATTGCAGATATCAGTGTCTGAGGTTGTTCCAGATGAAACAGGTCTGCAATGTAACTAGTGCCTTCAAATTACTACAGCCAAGGCAAAAGCCTCAAAATCACCAGGATATCTTTCTAAGATCCAAAATATTTTTTCACAACAAATATGTATCATTGTATACTGCACCTTCTAAATGGATTTGATTAAAGAAAATTTTAGCTAGTTTGTATGACTTGTTTACAAAGACAACAAGGTGTATTACACTAAGAGACAACAAAATATAACTACAAGGCACAAAAATGATTTTTTTTTAGTTTGTACACTGGCTGTGTAGTCTGAAGATTATGAAACAACTATCTGGAATCATTCGTATTAAAGTTACTTAAAACCGGGGTGGGGGGTTCCACTGCTTTTTTGCTGCTCTGATTTTATGTATTTCAGTTAAAGAATCACAAATATTAAAGGCTATGGGCAAACTTCTCCACATTAACTGATAGTGAGAGATGTACCATGGAAATTAAGAAGTACACCAACTAGGTCTAAATGGTGCCCAAGTTATTATAGACAATATGGGAATGTGAATACCTCCACCTCATCATAACACATAGCAGAAATACACTTCCACAAAGTAAGAAACTCACATGCAGTTTACAATGTTAAGACAGACTGGAGAACTGAAGGAAAAAAACATTTTGAAAGTGATTTCTGATGTTTATGATGTTTAGAATTTAAAATGTATTTTCATGAGATTTCAATAAAATCAAATTTATAGACTGCTGTAAGTAAACATTTTCCCCTAACTTTTGAGCTGGTACCTTACTAAGCATTTCATGGTTTATGTTGAGTAATCTGGAAAAAATTAGACATATATAATCTAAACCTATACTATAGATTCTGATGTTCTGGGTAGTAATTAAAAGTTTTAATTACAGAGAAATTTTATCTTTTTAAATCTTTTTGCATATAACTACATACTGTGCATGTACCTCAATGAGATCCAATTAGTTGCAAAGAATTTGCATTTCAGTTAGTGTGGGATAACAAGACTACAGGGAGGCACAATGCAGTTCCACCAGCAGAGAAAGTGAGTATGTTCTTTCTTGTTAGCTCTGTAAGCAATAATTCCCGCAACTAACTGTTTAAAATGTTACTGATCTTTTCATTATTTGGGTATTGAGATGGGTTTAGGTTTTCTCCTGCATTAAAAAAAAGGAAAGAAAAAGTCAGATGTTGGTTCAGCTATCAGCTCCAACGAATACCTACCTGAAGAAACAAATGAGCAAAGGATTTTGATTTTGCGTGTGTTTGTAGTTTTACTTTTGTTTAGGGAAGAGGAGATACTCCATACTTTTTCTTCTCTTCTTAATACTTATTATTAAGTTCTCTGAAAGTACATTGCTTTTTAAAAATATATCCCACAACTGTGGACAGAGAAACCTCATTGAGACAGTTGTATGTAAATGTGAGGTTTGGTAATAAAGGCATGTATTCAATACACTGAGAAAGTACTCAAGAATTTTCACATTTTCTAGCTATGTTTGTAACCATGTAAATCGTAAGCAAATTTAAATAAATGTATAAATTACATAATGCAGTTTAACAAGCATCTCTAGGACTTTGCTAGCTCACAGAACAATGCCTGTAATTCCCAGGGTTCAGTTCAGCAGCTGTTAACAAATTCTGTAATCTGTAATGACAGTAAACTGGCCTTTGCTCTCCGTTTATTCACTATTCATTTTCAAAGCCTGGTTAAGTACAGAGCTGGGTTAAAGATCAGTGGTTTTTCATGTGACACATGCTGGTATTCATCTAATGGCTTGTCAAGACAAAACTGTCCCTGTTCTTGCCAAAATAATAAAAATGATGCTCCACATCGCATGACAATCAGCAAGCACTTCCTAATGGCAAAACAAGTCCAGTTTCTGTAATTCACTTATTTTATAGAAAATTTTTAAATAATTTGCTCTCCAATCCTATATGTGGAATTAAATTGTCAGTCTCAAAGGAGATTTTAAAAAATGTTTTAGCCACTCAGAACTCTGAAGCAACATGTGAACTAGTTTATGGTCAAATTAGAGTTTACTGTTATAAAATAACATGGAAGCTATAATTTTGTATGGCATTAAGGTATATAACTTAATACATGCAAATTATGCAGAAGCAGAAGGCTAGGCCCAGTCACAGAGGTGGGAGGAACAAATTGAGAAAATGTCATTTTTCTTGAGAACGAAGTATGGGACTTGCTTTGCAACATCTGTTG